GATTTATCCCCCCCCCCTTCACTATCCGAAAGAGTCTCAGAGCGGCTTACAATCTCCTTCCCTTCCTTTCCCCACAACAGACACCCTGTGAAGTAGGTGGAGCTGAGAGTGCTCTGAGAGAACTGTAACTGACCCAAGGTCACCCAGCTGGCTATATGTGGAGGAGTGGGGAAATGAATCCGGTTCTCCAGATTAGAGTCCACCACTCTTAACCACTACACCAAACTGGAGCCCACCAAGGAAGGATGTTGACCCCACCAAGTGTGATGTGACTGCGAAGAAAGCTAATGAAATCTTAGGTCGTATTAACAGAAGCATTGTGTCCAGATCACGGGAAGTGGTAGTTCTGCTCTATTTTGCTATGGTCAGGTCTCACCTGGAGTACTGTGTCCAGTTTTGGGCACCACATTTTAGGAAAGATGTTGACAAGCTCGAACATGTCCAGAAGAGGGCAACCAGGATGGTGAGAGGGTTGGAATCCAAGTCTTATGAGGAAAGGCTGAAAGAGTTGGGTATGTTTAGCCTGGGAAAGAGAAGGCTTAGAGGGGACACGATTGCAGTCTTCAAGTATTTGAAGGGCTGTCATGTGGAAGATGGAGCAGAATGCCCATTGAAGAACCTAGCTGTAAGCATAGCTTTGTGATGAAGTGAACCAGCAGTGATATTTTCAATATGTCACCAAGAGAAATGAATTGTTAAAAGACAGTTCATGTACACATCCTTGTTCAGAAGAAGATCGTTGTCGAAACGGCACACCATTCCGGAGACCACCGTCTACATTCACTATATATATTGTTCATTTTTTGTCATTGCATATTATGATTTATGAATATATCATTAAGCGCTAAATTGTCAGTCCCCCCCCCCCCCTTTTCCCCGCTGGTCTTATTACTGTGCCCATCCTAGTGATGAACAGAACATTTGCTCCAGGGAGGCTTAAAAGACAGTGGAACATCTCAGGGCCCTTTAGAGAGGAGGGGGACCCCTTTGAAGGAGAACGAAGAGAATTGGCCTCTCGGTTGAGAGGCTGAGAGAAGACTGGCTAAATAGAAGCATGGCTGTTTTGGCCCACAGAATAGGATTCCTAGCTGGTGTGTCTATCCAAGTGTCATGAACAGTAGACCTACTGGAAGAAGAAGATGCTTTCAGGACTCAGTGCTGATTTCTGTTACCTACTCACCTGTTGGTTAGGAACGTTCCATCTCTCTTTTGGTCTTTTAGAAGGTGAATGTAGAAATGGATGATGTAGGAAGGCCTGAATTTTTTGTAGACACTAACTAGTCCTTTTGCTTTCTCCAAAGCATTTCACAAGCCTGCCCTCATCTCCTGGCTTCAGGAAAGTGAAGCACCGTTTCCCCCAGGCCTCGAAGAAGAGGAGTGGTCGGCAGGTGGGTGGATTAGAGGCGTGATGGGCCTCTTTGTTGGCTGGAGATTGAGTGCTTTCCTTGGAGGGCCGCTAGATGTTTTGAACGGCCCTGATCACTCAGGCCGTGAGCTCACGTACCCGCGGGATACCTACAGTGGCTCTGCCGGCCTCTGAGGTCTCATTCCTTGTAAGAGTTTTTAACGGGAGGGGAAGGCTGAAACAGGCCCATTCCTCTCAGTGTTGATGCAGATTTGTGGGCCTTGGATCTTGACCTTGATTCCACCCACCTGGAATTATCTCCTCATTTTGGGCTGTCCACATTGCAGGAACAAGAGCAGAGCTTTCGGGGTTCTGTCCCCTACTTTGATGGAGGGAAGGTGGCGAGAGAGTCTGGGGGAAAAGATTGTACAACAGGATGGTGCAGTGTCAGGAAAACAGCAGGAGGGTTAAGCAGGGAGCCGAAACTGTATTCCCTTTTCTTCATAAGGAGAGCCCTGCTGGATGAGACCAGTAGTCCATCTCATCCAGCATATTGTTCCGCACAGTGGCCAGTCAGTTCCTCCGGATAGTCAACAGAGGGCGCTGAGGCTTTCCCCTGATGTTGCCTCTTGACTCTGTGATTCAGAGGATTAGTGCCTTTTGAGTGGGGAGGTTCCCCTCAGTCACCACCAATGCTCCCTCTAAGCCGTGGAGTCTTGTGAGCAAAAATTCTACTTTGTGAGCTACTGGCATTAAAGTTGTGAGCGAGCAATTTGGCTGCTGCATAGATTAGTTTGCTCTGGAGCAATGCTCCCTGTAAGCTGTGGAGTCTTGTGAGCAAAGATTCTATTTTGTGAGCTACCGGCATTAAAGTTGTGAGCGAGCAATTTGGCCGCTAAATAAACTAGTTTGCTCTGAAGTCATCTTTCTTGAGCCGAGACAAAAATGTGTGAGCCAGGGGCTAAAATACTGTGAGCTAGCTCACACTAACTCAGTTTAGAGGGAACACTGCTCTGGAGCCCTCCTTCCTGAGCTAAGACAAAAAGGTGTGAGTCGGAGTCTAAAAAACTGTGAGCTAGCTCACACTCACGCAGCTTAGAGGGAACAGTGGTCACCACAGCTGCTAGCCATTTGATAGACTTGTTTATTTATTCATTTGTACCCATAATAACCAACTGGGTGGGGGGGCAATCACCCCTGACAATCTCTGATTAGAGATCCTACCAGGCCAAGGCGGGGTGAAGAAAAGGGAGGCCAATATAATTAGACACCCGTTGCCCCAACCAAAGGCCTGGCAGAACAACTCTGTTTTGCAGGCCCTAATCTCACTTGGGAGAGTGTTAGGACCATAAGAGACGCCAATGTTGGATCAGGCCAAAGGCCCATCCAGTCCAACACTCTGTGTCACACAGTGGCCAGAAATACCAGGTGCCATCAGGAGGTCCACCAGTGGGGCCAGGACATTAGAAGCCCTCCCACTGTTGACCCCCCCCCAAGCACCAAGAAGACAGAGCATCATTTGCCCCAGAGCCCCTAGCTATACCTTGTGGCTAATAGCCACTGATGGACCTCTGCTCCATATGCTTATCTCATTCCCTCTTGAAGCCGTCCATGCTTGTAGCCGCCACCACCTCCTGTGGCAGTGAATTCCAAGTGTTAATCACTCTTTGGGAGAAGAAGTACTTCCTTTTATCCGTTCTAACCCGACCGCTCAGCAATTTCATTGAGTGCCCACGAGTTCTTGTATTGTGAGAAAGGGAGAAAAGTACCTCTTTCTCTACCTGCTCTGTCCCATGCATAATCTTATAAACCTCAATCATGATGTCACCCCTCAGTCATCGTTTCTCCAAGCTAAGGAGCCCTAAGCGCTTTAACCTTTCCTCATAGGGAAAGTGTCCCAACCCCTTTATCATTCAAGTTGCCCTTTTCTGCACTTTTTCCAAAGCTATAATCTCCTTTTTAAGGTGTGGTGACCACCTTATTAGTGTTCCAGCACTGAGGGAAGATGGCATCAGAAGGGGAGAGGGCAGTATCCCCAGGGAGAGGGTTCCAGAGTTGTGGTGCCACAGCCGAGAAGGCCCTCTCCAGGATTGCCACTGACTCATCTGAAAAGGCATGGCGCTTGAAGTAGAGCATTCGAAGATGTCTGTAGTGGCCAGGTAGGTCCATAAGGCAGTGGAAGTCCTTCAAGGCTCTTGGTCCCAAACCATAGAGGGCTTTAAAGGTGAACAACACCAGCCCCTGTGGAACTCTGCCCTCATCCCTGCCTGTGTGGGGTCTTCTGTGGTGCTGAACTCTGCTCTCTGATCACCCTTTCTTCTGCACTGTCTGTGAGTGGTTCATATTAAGAGAAATGAAATTAATGAAATCATTCTTATGAAAGCCTTCAGTCTAAATGTATTTTGTACATTTATACTATTGGGATACTGTGTCTGATATATATTTTTATTGATTTTCAATATCATGTATACACCTATAGTATTTTCAATAAGCAATCCCTCTAAGTAAGTATTTTGTACAGTTATTTTCTAAACAGCAACACCTCCAATCATTATTACATATATCTTCTTAATATATTATACACATAGACCAACAACTAACTCACCCAACATTTACCATCTTAATCAGCCAAGATCTAGAATAATTTTCAAGTACATACATCCATTATCAAGATTTTTTAAAATCTCTTTATCAACCTTAATTTTCTCGAGACACTCCACTATCTGAATTTCCACATATTTTGTTCATAATAACTTCCCTACCATCTACAATTTTTTTTATTTGCCATTTATTCTTGTCTTATCTTAAGTTTTAACTTCATTTTATTTTGCTTTCCTCATGTTTTCATTATTTACCTCCTGTCTATTCCACTCAAAATTATTCTGTACTATAAATTGGCTTTAAACCCATTTTATACTGTGTCAAAAGCTGGTGAGGAGTATTAAAAGTATCCGCAGGGAAACAGTGTACAGATGAAAATGATTGACGAGGAACCCCAAAGTTGCCTGTATCCCATTGCCGGTTTAGAAGCCAGTATAAATTGAGAAAAGAACTTGGGTTTTTCTCAGCTCTGCCGAAAAGTTAGCTCTGTTATGATTGCAGATTATAGATTTATTTCTCCTTCTAATCAGAAGTCTTTGTTCCACCAGGAAACAGGCAGGAGAATGAGAATTACAGTGAGCGATGTGCAGCATCTCTCAAAATGACCAGCCATGAGGGGGAGGAAAAGCCTTCCAGGAATCCAGAACAGTCAAACAGACAGGAAGAAAGCAAAGCAGAGAAGTCAAGGAATCAGTCTGTAGTTTTCCAGACTGGCCTCCTTCTTGAAAACCCAGCCCAAGAAGAATATGGCAAAGGAAAGAGGAGGAATAAGCATTCTGCAAGCAGAGAAGGATTGAGATGTGAATCCAACTTTTCTTCCCATCAGAGAATCCATGCAGGGGATGAAACGTACAAATGCTCTGACTGTGGGAAGGGCTTCAGCAGGCTCGTAAGCCTCACTTCTCATCAGAGAATCCATAAGAGGGAGGAACCATCCGAGAGTTCAGACTGCGAAAACAGCCTTGGTTTGAGTGACAGTCTTACTTCCCATCAAAGAACCCACAAAGGGCAAAAACCATGCCAGTGTCCAGAGTGCGGCAAGAGGTTGAGCTGTAAGAATGCTCTTACTTTGCATCAGAGAATCCATTCCGAGGAGAAAAAATATAAATGCTTAGAATGTGGAAAGAGCTTCCGCTGGAGTTCAAACCTCACTGTGCATCAGAAAATCCACTCAAAAGAGAAACCATATAAATGCTTGATATGTGGAAAGAGCTTCACTCTCAGTACAGGCCTCACTTCCCATCAGAGAACCCACTCCGGGGAGAAACCCTACCAGTGCACAGTGTGTGGGAAATGCTTCACTCAGAGACCACATCTTACTTCTCACCGAAGAATCCATTCTGGTGAGAAGCCCTATAAATGCCAGGAGTGTGGAAAAGGCTTCAGTCAAAGCTCACACCTGACTGTACACCAAAGAGTCCACACGGGAGAAAAGCCATATAAATGCTTGGAGTGTGGAAAGAGCTTTCGTATGACCACACACCTTAAATCGCATGAAAGAATCCACACAGGGGAGAAGCCATATAAGTGCCTGGATTGTGGGAAAAGCTTCAATCAGAGCTCAAGCCTTAATACACATAGAAGAATCCACACAGGAAAGAAGCCGTATAAATGTATGGAGTGTGGAAAGAGTTTTGGCAGCAGTCCACAACTTAATGTGCATGAAAGAACTCACACAGGGGAGAAACCATTTAAATGCCTGCAGTGTGGAAAGAACTTCTCTAGTGGCACACGGCTGGCAGAACATTGTACAGTTCACACTGGAGAGAAAAAATATAGATGCAGGGACTGTGGGAAAAGATTCAGATGGAGAGATCATTTTATCTCCCATCAAAGAAAACACGAAGAGGAGGTTTCATAGAAATAATCAGACTAAGAGTTTTGGAAATACAACTAAAAACTAAAAGATTGTTAGAACTAGGAGGATTTGATCTGAGAATTGGATGGTATGGATATTTGCTATGTGACAATGTGAAAGCCAATGTGAAATTTAATAACTATTATATTGGACATGCTATTTTGAGAGTATGGAATAAGTATAAACCCAGACTTTGTTCAAAAATAACATTATGGTTATTCCCACAAGAAGCATATTTCAGAAAAGAAATGACTGGTTCATATAATTGGTTAACATATAATTGGTTGACATACCCTGATTGAGGCTAAACGCATGTCCTTCAGGCTTGGAACCGCCAGCAGATGTTCTCCATGAATCTGTCTAATCCCCTTTTCATGCTGTTTATTCCTGTGGCCAACAGTACATCCTCTGGCAGTGAATTCCGCATTTTAATCACTCTCCGTGTAAAGTAGTATTTCCTTTTTTCCATCCTGAACCTACTGCCCATCAGCTTCATTGGATGTCCCCAAGTTCTAGTCGTTAGGGAGAGGGATAAAAATGTATCTTGGTCAAATCTCTCCACCCCATGCCTAATTTTATAAACCTCTATCATGTCCCCCCCACCTTAGTCGTCTCTTTTCTAAACTGAAAAGCCTTTCATCATAGGGAAGGTGCTCCAATCCCTTCATCAGCTTGGTTGCCCTCCTCTGTACTTTTTCCAGCTTTGCATTGTCCTTTTTGAGATACGGTGACCAGAACTGTACACAATATTCCAAATGAGGCCATGCCATAGATCTATACAGGGGCATTACAATATCAGCTGTTTTATTCTCAAACCCTTTCCTAATAATCCCTAACTCAGAGTTTGCCTTTTTCACAACTGCAGCACACTGGGTTGACACTTTCATTGAGCTACCCACTACAACCAGTGTTCCCTCTAAGCTGAGTTAGTGTGAGCCAGCTCACAGTCTTTTAGCCTCCGGCTCACACATTTTTGTCTCGGCTCAGGAAGGAGGGCTCCAGAGCAGTGTTCCCTCTAAGCTGAGTTAGTGTGAGCCAGCTCACAGTCTTTTAGCCTCCGGCTCACAGATTTCTGTCTTGGCTCAGGAAGGAGGGCTCCAGAGCAAACTAATCTATACAGTAGCCAAATTGCTCGCTCATAACTTTAATGCCAGCCGCTCACAAAGTAGAATTTTTGCTCACAAGACTCCGCAGCTTAGAGGGAGCATTGACTACAACCCCAAGGTCTTTTCCCCTTTCAATCTCATTAAGTTCAGAACCCATTAGCTTATACTTGAAGCTGGATTTTTTTTGTCCCAGTGTGCATCACTTTTCACTTACCAACACTGAACTTTGTGTACCAATTCTCGCTCTCTCCACCATTTTGTGGAGGTCGTCTTGGAGACAATGTGAACATTTATAGGCCTAAAGAGAGATGGGGAATGTTGTCAGGGAGGGGGGACCACTGTTTGTCAAGGAAATGTTTTTTTGTTTTTTTTAATAATTATGTTTATTGGTTTTTATAAGCCTATATCACATACACAAACACATACAAGAACAAAAACAAGATTACATACATACCATCCAGCACGTTATACTTCTATACCTGCTCTTTTTGCTTTCCTATCTCCATATCTAATCTGTATTGACTAAAAGTTCATATTTTAATAGCCTTCCAAAATTTCTTATCTATCTAATCTGAACTTGCCTCAAATTTATAACTTTCTCTCTGTCAATATGAACTCTCTAACTCTTATCCCTTAACTTGTCAGGTGTATGTATTTGATACAAGGGTTTAACTTCAATTCATACAAAATCGGAATCATACAAATTCATACAAGCTCCTTAGTTACAATAGTACATTAGAACAATTACAGCATAGAAAATAACAAAAGCATCAAAATGGGGATGACACAATGGGGCACGGCTATACTCATCTGAGGTCCAGCTGAGGAAGAACTCTCCTCCTTGGAACGCTGGGCAGCCGAAATGCAGCAGCTTGTGAACTCCAAGGCACACAGGTAGGACCAGCCAAACCACGTGTGAGCTCTCTGGGTCGCGACTCCGGAGAACTTAAGTAGTAGAGTCACTTGTAGCACCTTAGTGCACTGCTATGGGGAAGGTGGGTTAACCAGAGAGACAAAGGAGAGTTTCTCCTTAAATAAACTCTTTTTGGGGCATGTGCTATCCAGCCATAAACTATCAAACCCGTCCTCTAAACTATCACTACTGGATGAAGAGGGGGTGACGAGGGGATGACGAGGGGGATGACGCTCTCCTGAGGGGTGGTGGCAATATGCAGATCCTACTCCTACATCAAAGGTGCCTTTTGGCAAGGTGTGAATCTTCCGTTCCCATGGACACCCTCTTGATTTGCAGATCTGGTTCCTGCTCCAAAGCCATAAACGCTATTGTCTTTAGATCTCCAAACCAGATTAAGGGAGTAGGGTCACTTGCTCTTTCCATTCCAAGAATGCCGGGGTTCGCTGGGGATTTTCCACAGCTCTCCAAGTGGGTGCAATGGCGCGGTGTCTTCTCCATCCCAAAGAGTCATGGGATACATTCCAGGGACGCACATGGTCCGTATGTGCAACGGCAGGCCCAGGCCAGCCTATTTCTAGGCAAGCATGAGATGCAGAACAGAGCAACACACAACATACAGCAATCCCTGAATACATATTGCATAGGTATTCATGCTAGAGACACACATAAGCAGCATCACCACTATACAGAAATACAAACATAAGCTCATATCGTTACACACCTTCCAAAGTCTGTTATCAATTTTAAATTTCCATGCCCGTCGCTTTCTTTTTTTTCTTTTTGGCTCTTTTCCGTCCAATTTTTAAACATTGTCTATTTTCTTTTGACCATTCCGCTTTACATCCAGGCAATTTTCTCTTGGTGACTCCTACCTCGTCCAGTGACACACTCAAGTCCACTCCATCACCCGAATTACATTCCTCGACACAGTCCTTATTTTCTCTCCAAACCTCCTCATGCAACTCCTTCACACAGATTGATCCCTGCTTGTCCATTCCTTCTGCATTCACTTGTATCTTATACTCCATCTTTATCTCCATACAAGCCTCTTCGCACCCTCTCTTTACCGCCTCCCTTATTGCTCTAATGAATTTCTCCGTCTCAGTCTCCCCACCTTCCGGGTTTCCGACCCCTTCCTCCTCCTTACTTCCAACACGATCCATCTCGATCCTTTCAACTCCAAATAC